GTTCAAGAAAGCAACCATCACTATCTTCTCAAGGACCATTAGGGATTGGAAATAAATGCTAGTGATACACACACATCCTATGAACAAATAAAAGGATTCCAGATTTAGCCCTTCATCTCAGGCAAGCAAGCAGGCAAGCTGGAAGTAGGGCCTATACAAATGTCCCTAGTTCCATAAGTAAAGGCGACAGGAGATCGGTTGGGGGAAATCTATAATGTACCTATACACATACTTGAGAAAAGATTAGGATGTAAATCATTCCGGTAAAATAGCCTACCACCTTGGATCAAACATAAATAACAGTTACTGCCCTGAAGAAACTGTGACGATCGACCAGCAAAATAGACAATCCCTCACAATAAATTTGTAAAGCCCAACAAAACATGGGCAAGATTTGGCTTGGATTGGGGGAATTCAGGTTCGGTGAAGACAGTGTAACCTCAACCCAAAGTGGAGTGACCTAGAAGAGGCTTTGCAGTCAGGTTTTAACTCGCTCAGAGATAGTAAGAACTGCCGATGCTCGAGTCAGAGATAACACAGTATGGAGCTGGAGGAACACAGCAGGCCAGGCAGCATCAGAGGAGCAGGAAAGCTGACGTTTCAGGTCGGGACCCTTCTTCAGAAATGGGGGAGGGGGAAGGGAGCTCTGAAATATCTTACTATCTCTGAGTGAGTTATAATCCCACTGCGAGGCCTCTTCTAGGGATGCCTACCTTGAAGAAGTTCTCCTCCTCCCTCTGGAAAGACCTCAGTGGATCTTTATCCCACTGCAGCCCTCTGGTAATCTCTTTGACCCTGAAACTGCTCGCCGTTCCTCCCACCTCACTGACCAATCCCCACCGCTCCCTACCTGCACTCACCTATCACCATCCCACCTACTTTCCCCAGCCCCACCCCTCCTCTATTTATTTCAGAGGCCTCTTCCCTTCCCCTCCCCCGTTGCTGAAGAAGGGAACCAACCCGAAATGTCAACTTTCCTGCTCCTCTGATGCTGCCTGACCTGCTGTGTTCCTCCAGCTCCACGCTGTGTTATCTCAGACTCCAGCATCGGCAGTCCTTACTATCTCTGACTTAGGGAATGATGCTTTTTTGCCACAGGTACACCACCTGTACAAAAAGAGGTACTTTTTTTGCAGGGTGGGGGAGAGGTGAGCTTTGTTTTGTCATTGAATGTGATCTATCCCAAGCCCATTGCTTTCAAAGTGACAGCTGGAATTGGAGATTTATTATTCTTTGGTAGGTTTTGTGTTCATTTAGGAAGTGAAGGTGAAAATGAACACTTTTCTTTGAAAAATCTGTTTTGTGTATATTTTTCAATGAATAGAAATACTGTAATGTGCCTTTTATTGAATAAACTTGGATAGATTTTCTGAAATATATTTTCACTGAGTGGCATGCAGAGAATTGGGGTGACTTTGTGTAATTCCACTGTGCACCCTATATGTACCCCAAGACAGAAGCTAGCTAGTGGATGACTCCACATTCTTGCTAAAGAGAATTCATCCTGTCATCAGTCCAGTTTATGCAATGGCTGAGTTGTCATGAACCAAGTCTGAGTAAGAGATAGTAGGAGTAACCTAGTCTCATTTTCTTCCTTTGGGTAAAAATCAAATTGTTTTCTGTTTGGGATAGTCTTATTATGAAATTACTCCAATACTGAAACTTGGAGTACATTTTGCGATTCCTTGTCTAGTTCTTCACCTTCTGAAACTTCCACACAGCTTGTGCATATCTCCTTAAGGATTCAGTTATTTCATTTGTGATTTTTTTTTTTTAAAGACAAACCCGATTAGCTGTAAAATGTAGTGAGGAATAATCATTATAGCGTATGTGAACATGCAACCTTTGTTTTCATTCTAAAGATGATGTTCATGGCTGTTTTCACACTTCATTCCGATCATTGGGCTTTCTGTTTCGTGAAGTCTATCTTGTATTTTTTACATTATCCTGTGCTCTGTTTCTTTTCCTTTATGCTCAGTGGATTCTTGTGGTGAGTTGTTTATTCTTCTCATAGTTACTATATTATTTGCATGAAGTTTTGGTGTGCTATATAATGTACCATGTTAGCTGTGATGTAACTGAATATTTACTGAATTCCATCGTAACCCAGTAATATTCTTTTCTTTTAGAATATACAGTGTAAATATGCTGGAGGTTTGGTTAACTTCAGTAGGATTCTCATGAGTAAACATGACTACAAGTTATTTACCACTGCGCAATGGCTTACTGCAAATGCACAAGAAAGCTGCTGTTTAATAGTGGAATGAAACTTGAGTAAAATACTGAAACTGTACAGCATTTTTACTGGCAAGGCAATATTTATTAATCGTCCCTAGTTTCCATAAGGGTATTAAGAGTCAACCGTGTGCCTGTTCACAGGTCAGGGATGAATGTGGGGTGGGTAAATGGTATTGCTGGCAAAAATGGGTGGAGTAGGATGAATATGGGTTGTTTTGGATGATTTTGTCAGTTTCTTATCATGATCTTATGAGTGCTTCAGTGGCCTTGGAGAGCTCATTTATTCCCACCGTTGTGCTTGGGGTCATCTGCAACTGGTGGGTACCACAAGAGATGCAGTGTATGGGCAAAAATAATAATTCTGTGCTTTAGATTTACAATTTGCTGCCTTTATTGAACTTTGTTTGAGTTTAGATTAGTTGCTCTTTCTTACAAGATGACATTTGTAGATTTGTTTTTCTGCTGGTGACAGTAATTCAACCTCTATCGGTGTTAGTATAACAGATCATTAAAAGCAGGTGATTGAGGTTAATTAATTAATTGGGTAAATAAAATGAGGAAACAAGTGGGATTGATGTGTGGAAGGAGCTGTAAGACTGCATGGTTTAGGGAGGTAATGATGTAGTGGTAATGTTATTGGACTTGTAATCCAGAGCCTCAGCTTTGGGGATATGAGTTCAAATCTCAAAATAGCAGATAATGAAATTTGAGTTCTAGTTTTAAAAAAAATCCTGGAATAAAAAGTTAGCCTAATGGTGACCATGTGACCAATGTTAATTGTTGCCAAAAAAAAGTTTAGTTCACTAATGCCCTTTAGGGAAAGAAACTGCTGTCCTACCTGGTCTCAACATGTAATACTGCGTGGTTAATAAACTCTATCCACAAAGAAAGATGGTCTAATTTCTGCCTCACTTAACTGGCTTGGATCAGGATTAACAATTGGTCAACTAATAAAGGTGTAATGTTGGACTGGAGTCATATGCAAGGTAGATTAACTGTCTCTGAAGTACATCAGCGAGCTGTTTTGCTTTATTTGACTCTCCACCTTTGAGTGAGGTCAAATTTTGCCTATTGCTTCTGGGGCAGGCTCACAAGTGACCTTGACTTTTTTTGGGGGGCCAGTTGTATTGAAAATATTTATTTTCATAATCTGTGGAATACATGTTCCTGATACTGTTTTGAAGAAATGTTAATGGCCATTTCTTTTCTGAATGGGGTAAAAATTACTTCATACTGAACTGGGGCAGCAGCTCTCCAGAGGGCTGAAGCACAATGCTGGTTACTAAAAGGGAGCAGCTTTCTTGGACAGTCACGGCATTGCCATTTAACAGGAACCGAACAGCTGATGCACAATAAATATAGTATATTTTGACTTCCTGATCTACAGTTTCAAATATGTGAAAGCATATTTTAGAAGGACAAGCTCCCTTTTTTCAGATCAATAATTTAACTTGTGGGATTAATCTGATATTATTATAATGTGATGTTGTCTTTGGTACGTCTTGGTTGGAAATAGATCTTCTCAAGAGTGGGCATATAAGTGGACTATCCCAAGTTTCCATTATGGTTCTGAAATTGCTCATTCTGCACTGTAGATCAATGAGGCAGGAAAGGGTTCATTTTCTCATAGAATCCCTACTGTGTGGAAGCAGTCCGTTTGACCCGTTGAGTCCACACTAACCCTCCGAAGACCATCCCACCCAGACCCAGCCCCCTACTCTCTCCTTGTTACCTGGCATTGCCCATGGCTAATTCACCTAGCCTACACATCCCTGGATAGTATGGGCAATTTAGCATGGCCAATCCACCTAACCTGCACATCTTTGGTCTGTGGGAAGAAACCGGAGCACCCGGAGGAAACCCACGCAGATGCAGGGAGAATGTGCAAACTTCACACAGACAGTTACCTGAGGGTGGAATTGAACCTAGGTCCCCAGTCTTTGAGGCAGCACTGAGCCACTGTGCCACCCCATTCTCATTCATGAGCATCCATCTGACACATGAACAATATGCGATAGATAAAGTACTGGAAGGAAAAGTCTGCAACCATCTAAAGTGCAATAAATTTTAAGAGTTGATAAAAACCAAATAAAGCAATTCTTACTTTTTACACATCAGTCCACCCTATCTGTCAGCTTGCTGTATTCCTACATCTTTTGTTTTATGGAAACTTAGTTATTTCTTCCCAGCATCTTGTCATTAACATACTTCACATTGTTGTGATTTTTTTTGCTGTTCCTTATCACACATTCATGCCTCCCTTGCCTCCATGCTATAACTTTAATTGCCAGTATAGTTCAAATGGGGATTAAAGTTTGTGCATCTCTGTGTTTACGTAAACACAAAGGGAAAAATTCACTGCTTCATCTGAATTGGACACCTTGTTTAATTGAGAAAAATGCCCTGTAGTAGATAAAACTATTAATATAGAGATGGACTATTAACGGAATATAAGAAAGATGGAAAGGTTTAAGGAGAGTTCATGAAGTGAGCATTTGAAGTTGTTTTTGGGTGTGCAGATAGTTCCAGTTCACTAATTCTAACTTGTAACTGAGCATTTCAGACTTGGGTCACTGAAGCTCGGAGATTGTGTAAGACAAATGACTATGTTTACTAGAAATACCTGAAATTTTTTATAAAATCTGATATTTGGGTGCTATTTTCTGTACATCAGCAATTTCAGATTTTGTGGATTATTTAGTATCTGTTTCTATATTAATGTAAAATTAAAATAATTGAAGTTATTTTCTTTTCATTTCTAGTCCCTTGATGATAGTCACTCAGAAAATTACCAGCCTTGCCTTTCAAATGCATGATGGTAAGAACCCAACGGCTATTCTTGGCACTGATTTGTATTTTTTCGCTTTTCTGGTTCTAAGCAGTCATATTGGACATGAAATGTAAATTTTGTTTCTCTCCGTACAGATGCTGCCAAACATGCTGAGTTTCTTTAGCACTTTGTTTTTATTTAACTAACCTGTAGCACAGTTAAAAATTATTTTCAAAGAGGTTGATTGAAAATGACATCTCTGACATCTTGAACCTGAACCTTTTAGTCCACAGATAGGGACACTACCATTGTGCCACAAGTGCCCATTGTAGCATTGATATATGCTGAGGTACTTACTGTGTCTGTTCTAATTTAAAACTTCTGTCGTAATGTTTAGTATTATTCAGCCTGTGGATGAATCTTCTACACAGAGGAAAGATTCGCCGGTAATGTGTGTAAGATTTGACTCCTTCCTTACCAGTTTTTTGAGGTGATGCAGCCTGTCAAAATTCAAACCTTTGGACAAATGTGTGGATGTAAGTTTTATTACTGAGGTTGATATCAATAATAATTTAGCATCCAGAATATTCCATACGTTGACAGGTTTGATACCAGGCTACTTTCATGTCTTTCTGCTTACTGTCTGTCTTAAGAAAATGAAGGCAAAATGATCAAGAAAGTTTTATTTTATCATTAGCTATGTGACATTAATATTGCTTCAATTTAGTAACGAATTCCGCTTATGTTTAACATTATATTTTATTCGAACCATTATTCTACGGTGCTGATCTAATTGCAAGAATAAGACTGCTCCTACTGTTGGAAACAGAAAGGCCATATTTACAAAATGGCACGGTCTTGCACTAAACTTCACTCAAAGGAATTTAGGTCAGTGCTTCATCCTATGGGGTTACGAGTCATTATTCCGCCAAAGTGTTGCTGTCATGTAATGATCTAAACTTTACGCCAGAAGCGTTTGAAATATTTTTGAATAAGAATGGAATCAAACACATTCTTAATAATACCATATTATCCAGCATTGGATGGTGCTACAGAAAGAAGTCTACAACTTGTGGACAGGTCTTGCAGAATAATTATCAGGTGACTAGTTAGCCAATAATTTCAATGCTTCTCTTCATGGACTAGACAATTTTCTGTTCTTTGACAGAATAACCCTAGATTCACTAACTGGTTGTACACACCTTATGTTCATGTTAAAACATGCTCCTAGGAAAAGGTTTAGTTTGCTTAAACCTGATGTTAATAGCAAAGTAAGAGAAAACAGGACAATGTATAGATGAGTCATTATGCACGAGGTATGAAACTTAAAGTTCAGTGCTAGTCAGATGATCAAGGTGGAAGAACCATTGAGGTGATAAGGAGAAGTAGTTGATTGGAGAAAGTAGATGTGTTCACATATCTGGTGAAGATTGGAAATAAACTCTATTACTGTCATGGAGATCATTGTCTAGACAAAAGAAATTAAGATGAAGGGAGAGCAGGAGAAACCTCGTAGAATCCATTTTCTTGCTGCAACCCAAAGTGAAAATTTGAAGAAAGTGCAAATCATAAAGAAGCTCGAAGTTTGCTGGGATCACAGAATCCATCAGTAGGGTAAAGCGAACCAGGGTTTTTGACTGAGAGAAATCAGGCAATGTCACAGTGAGTCCATCGTGCAGAGTTGGTCATCAAATTTCAAATTTGACACAGTCAGCGATGTTGAGAGAGCAGAATCAAGCTTTGGAAATGGAAGGAGATACCCAGACAGTTTAATTGAAAGTGTATAGGAAGGATATACACATTAGTATGAAGGAACAGTTTGTTTTACATACTCTGGAATCGTTGGTTGGTCATAAAAGCGTAATATTTGCAAGATTTGAGCTTGTTGTTTGATTGCCCTCATTGTTGTTCCTGTCTTGTTGGGGTGGTGGAAATTAACTTAGTCTACCCTGCAGGGTAAACTATGTATTAATCTTATTAAGTGCAATCCACAATGATGGATACACTTTTCAATGGTCAGCCATAGTACTTTGTTGCTCAGCACTGTTTCAATTAACACCTGCAGCAGTCAGAGTGCAGTTTTATCTTTTAGTTGGGGATAGAATGCCTGGGCTATGTTATAACGTATCTGAACAGTTTGATTTAAATATATTTTTATCTGTCCCAGACCTACGACATAATGTATCTGAACAGGTTGATTAAAATACCTACCTTCGATTTGCAGGCTAGCTTTCAATCGTCCTGGCAAGTAATGTATGGAGACACTGGGTGATTAATTCTATTTACTTGAAGTAATCATGCTAATGAGCAGGCAGCACCAATGTCATGATTGTAATGAGGTCAGCCAGGTAGATCTCACAGAATATGAGCTCCCTGATTGAGGCTGTTAATCTGGCCCAATAAGGGAGCCCTGGTTGACAGAGAAAAACAGGCACCTTAGACATCCTGTTCACTGAGCTGGCTGTGAGGGAGCTGGAACTGTGTCAAGGACTTTCCACGTGTAAATAAAAGGTGACGGGATACTGGCTTTTGGAGTTATTTCCACCAACATAGCAACCCACCTGCACTGCGTTATGGAGGTAAGGAGTAATATTTATTTACAAGTCTGCACCTGTTTTTCAGGGACCATTCGTTTTAGCCCCCAGTGACAGAGTCAAATTTTAATCTGTTGTTTCTTTGTTTAAAGGTTTTATCAACATAAGCGTAATGAGTTGGACAGTCTGCTTTCTTGAAGAGAATAAACTAAATTTCAAAATTTAACCTGAAAAATGTCCGTGTTTATCAGAAGTCATCCTGTTTTGATGCAGTGTTTAGAAATTCTGCGTTTTGTTTTTTTAAAAAATTATTTTCCTCAGACATTATTGGTGAGGAGAAAAGTCATCTTTGGAAGATTACCAGTATAGCTTTACTTTCTCCTTTTCTTCCCAGCACTTTCTGCTTTGTTACATGATATCCCTATTGGAGAGAGGAGTGACTGCCATTTTCCAGTTCAGTGTTGGTACTGCTTTGTATATAAATGTTTATACAGACTGGTAATTTAAGAATATAAGAATGTAGAAACAATAAATATTCCTTCAGCATATATACTTTTGCGTTTCATTTCATGCCATAGTTGGTCATTGTTTTCACTTTTCTTCCTGACTCACTTGTTTCCCAGGTCTCTCTTGAATGCTGTTTATACGTGCTATTGTAATTAATTGGCAGATTAGGTGTTTGATGGATTATAAGTTTTGTTCCAATGATTTCCAACTTCACATATAAGTATACAGCACAGAAGGAAGATTTACCTGTGCTAACTGTTTGAAAGAATTGCTAGTTTGTACCGTTCCCTTGTCATTGTCCCAAGTAAATCTACATATTTTTCCTTTTTCTTTTTTGAAGTTCATATTGAATCTACTTTCCACCACACTTTCCAGCAGTACATTCCACACCACAACTGTCAGACACTGGCTCATTTCTGTAAATTTGGAACGTAGGCTTTCCTAGCTTTTGTGGGAATTTCACACAGAACTTCCTTCTGAGTTCCTCTAGTGCCTCATAAAATGTCACCACTGAATTGTCCACAAGCTGTAAATTATATATTGCTCTATTTCTTTTTTGAATCAAGAAAAGTCCATGAGGTAGGAATGTGAGGAATGCAGCCAAAATAATAATTTATAGGCATCCAAATTACATTTACTTCATTCAGTACTTGGCCATCTTGGTACATTATATAGTAACTTCAGAGGAACAGGCTGATGACTGTAGCTGGACATATAGCAACACCTTGTGTTTATATATTAGCCTTAACATATCAAGGGTGTTATGAAATGAAATTTGTCATAGGTCAACATGACATAATATTCAGGCAGGTGACCTATTGATTGGTCAGAGAGGTTTTGAGGAGCCCCTTAAAGGAAGAGAGGTGTAGAGTGGTTAAAGATGCCAACTGAGGACTTCATTGACATAGGGAGTTTGTTAACTCACAGAATTGTTACGGTGCAAAAGGAAGCATTTGGCCCATCTTCCTGTAATGGCTCTCTGAATGACGATCATAACTCAAAACAAAGCAGTGTTTTTCAGCACAACCTTGAAGAACAGCATCTCATTTTTCACTTGGAAACCTTGTTGCCTCTACAGTTGAGTTCAATAAATTTAGAACCTGATTCTATCCTCCTGTATTTTATTACCCACCCACACCCAGCCCTGTTTTGACACGGGTTGCTTTAAGCACAGCTCACCCATTCTCTCCTATTTTTAGCCCTTATTATCACTTATTCAGCTTTCCTTCTATCCTGGCTCACTATCCATAATCTTGTTTACCTACTCCTTTCATATCTCTTCTTCTCTGGAATCCATCTCGACAGGCACACACAGACATCTTCCCTCCCACCTCAACCTCTCCTTCAGCGTAAGTACTACTTTTTTCCTAGCAGATCACAGTTCTGATAAAGAATCACCAGACCCAAAGTGTTGCGTCTGCTTTCTTCCCACAGATGCTGCCAGACCTGCTGAGTTTCCCCAGCAATTTCTGTTTATGTGAGCATCATGAATTATTTCAAGTCTCAGTTGAACCTGACTTCACCACACTTTAAGCAGTATGGTTGTTGATTTTGTGATTCTTTACCTAAAATGGGAGTCAACATTTTATAGCAATTTATGCGAGTTTATTGAGTTTGACAAGAAGAGTAATTTAGTTAATTAGAAAACAACTGTGACAGTTGTCGTAGTTCACTGATACCAGAGGATAAATAGGCTATAGGCATGAAATGTGTCAGTCTCATTAATGTTTCAAAGGTACCATCCTGCTCTCTAGCCAGAGTATTAACAAATTCTCCCCGGGTCTTCCTCTTTGCCTTGTGGTCCATCCTTCATCTGGAGAAAGCAGTTTCCTGACGAGGACTGCCACTTACAAGGGCTGCCTGAAAAGGACTGCCTGCTGCCTCTGAGCACTTGTTGATAGATCCTCTTTTTAGGGGCTGGTAGCTTATGCCATCTCAACAAATTTTCTGAATCCTTCTGGCCATTGACTATGGAGCAGCTACTTATGATATTGGAGAACTGTTGTTCCCTTGCTCACCTCCATTTGAAAGTTAGTTTTAATTCCTTCCAACAACAAAAACTTATTTTCCAAAACACTGCATTCATGATATGACAGTGTGGCCCCTGATAAATCTATTATTTATACCAGCAGAAGGCTAGTTACAACAGTAGCACTGTTAAATGAGGTCTAATCCTCCTCAGGAAATGCTAAATATGGAATACAAAAAGAGCACATTTTAATAAGGTCCCCAATTTCCACATGCTCCACACCATAACCACTTGCTGTGTGAAAATGTTTTTTCTCACTTTGCATTTGCTTATTTTGCAAATTTCTTTACATCTGTGCAGTTTCTCCCTATCTTCTCTGCTGCTACGCTATCTAATCTTCTCTTAGCCCTCTCCTTTCCAAAGAAAACAGTCCCAACTTCTCTGATCTACCTTTACACTAGAAGTTTCTCATTCCTGGAACCATTCTTCTCTATTTCTCAAGCATTTATGTCTTTCCTCAAGTATAGTCCCCAGCACTATAAACAAAATACCCCAGCTAGCTCCGATCTAATTAGTGTCATACAAATTTAGCATAACTCCCTTGCTGTTGAACTCGACACCCCTATTAATAAAGCCTTAAATACTGTATGTTTGTTTGTTTGTTTTTGTTTGTTTCAGATGCCCTTTGTTTTATACTGCATCTCCGTGTTCTTGCTACCAAAAAAAATCACCTCACATTTGTTTGTGTTGAACTTCATCTGCCATCTAAATGCCCACTGTACCAATTTGCCCATGTCTTTTAGTAGTTTTACACTATCCTTCTCACAGTTTACAGTGTTCCCTAGTTTTGTATCATCTGGAAATTTTGGAAATTGTTCCCTACACGCCAAGATCTAGATCATTAATGTACGTCAGGAAAAGGATCCCAAAACGACCCCCGGAGAACTGGACCTCAAACCTTCCTCCAACCTGAACATTATTTATTCACCATTACTTTGTTTTCTATCCCTCAGCAAATACTGCATCCATGTTGCTACTGTCTTGTTTATTCCGTAATCCATAATGTTTCTCACAAGTCTTCTGTGGGGCACTGTTGCAGGCAAGGCCACAGATGGTAGGGTGATGAATATTGGGGATGTGCAAGAGGGCATAATTGGATAAGTGCAGTGATCTCATTGGTTGTAGGGCTGGAGGACAGTTGTGGTGAGGCCATGGACAGATCTAAAGATAAGGAGGGGAGCTTTAGATACCTTTTTAGTTTTGAAGACATAAAGTAGGAGGCCAGTCAGGAAATTGAGATGAATATGTAAGGTCTGTTTTAAATTGTAACGTTTAGTTGGAGCAACAATGGTGCAAGTGTTCAGTACTTACTGGCTCACTTTGGAGAAAAAGCGTGGATTGTGTTTTTGGGATGTGGCTCCTAGCAACAGATCCCCAAAGTCAAGTCTTAATTCATTTTTAGCTAACTACAGTTTATCATTAATACCACTGAAGTGGTAAATTTATTTTTTCTTTGTGCTTTCTTTTTCTGTTTTAGAAACAATTCTCAAAAAATGTGAGGATCTGAGGAGAAAATTAAGTATTTACTTGTAGGGATATCAGTATTTGCCTTTGTACAAGGATCCAATGGTTGGTCATTGATTTATGACTTGAGAGTTTTTTTTGTACTGTGGACACCTTAGTGATTTAACATTTAAACTATGGTATACTATGTGCATGTATTATGAATCACAATGGTTTATTTTAAATGAGGATAAGATTTATTTCTCTTTTGAAAAATGCCGTGAAACTGGTGTAACCTGAACTACAGAGATAACAAGGTGTACAGCTGGATGAGCACAGCAGGCCAAGCAGCATCAGAGGAGCAGGAAGGCTGATGTTTCGGGCCTAGACACTTCATCAGAAATCAGCCAAAATGTCAGCCTTCCTGCTGCTCTGATGCTGCTTGGCCTGCTGTGTTCATCCAGCTCTACACCTTGTTATCTCAGATTCTCCAGCATCTGCAGTTCCTACTAACTTGAAATACAGGCTGCTGTTGGCTCAAATAGAAACTTGAAGCAGAGTAGGAGTATTGCCCTCATTCAGGTCAGAAAATAATGGTTGAGAGTTAATCAGTCTGTTCTTCCTTCTGTAGTGCTCCCCCATGATTTATTAACCACGACAACTTTAAAGCAATTTCTACAGTCATCTGCCATTCTCCAAAGGGTTACCCGGGCTATCCAAAGAAATGCACGAAATTCAGGACCTGTTCCTACGAGGTGTAAACTGTGCACATTGTGTTCCAGACATAAGATTGAAATGTAACATTCATGGAGGCAATTGCTGATTTATAGAAGCAGTTCCTTCCTGCCCCTTCCCTATTCCAAACTCTACATACATGGGAAGTGCTGTATTTGGGAGCAGAACATCTGATTTCCAGGTACAACCACTATTTTGCTACAGTTGAGAAACTCCCCATTCTTGTAAAAACCCAGGTCCATGTTTCCACTTTTTCATCTAAGGAAGCCTATCAGTGATTTTTATAGGTCTTGACTTTTTATTTTAACTGTTTCGGCCTACACCCTGAAGTTATGTTCCTAAAACTAATGTTGTATTCAAAATGTATGATCCATGAACGAGCTACTGCCAACACTCCCATGGGTAATATGGCTATCATGGTTGAGTAGCTGGCAGTGCAGGCAATCTGTGAGAGTATGGAACACTTAAGTGTAAGGGTGAGTGAGGTAAGACAATGAATGAAAGATTTGAGTTATTGGTAGATTAGTAACAGTGGCTGTATGGTGAATTGAAAAATGTGTGACTTATTTTTAAGGATACGGCAGTTGAAGACACATTTACTGACCTTGATGAATCATGTGGGCTTATTCAATTTCTTTGAGCCCTTCAACTGCGTTCTCTGGTCTGGAGTACTGGTGTTTACTGTGATGGGTGTCTGCTCCCCAGTACATTCTCATTATCTGTCTTGTGGGTGTGCTGGCCCATTTGAACGGAGAGTCTTTCAATCCACTTACAATGCTGAGGTTTCTAGTGCTACATATGAGAAACTAGAAGAAAACGGTCTGCACTGTGATCTCATTTTATTCTTGTAGGTCTGACAGTGTTCTCCAGTCACTTCCAACACCTGAATCAGCCCGAGTACTCCTCCTATTTGAAAGGTGTAGGCTGGCTCTAACAAATGTAAGCTTGCTCTAAGCAGCACCAGCTTCATTTGAAATTGACTTGAACCTGTGTCCTCAAAGCATTAGCCTGAGTCTTTGGTTTACTAGTCCAGTGACATTACCACTATGCCACTGGCTCCCCATTTTGCTAAAGGACCTTGGGTAAAAGTGAAGCATATGGTCTGCTTCTGAGAATGCTGAAACATTTAAACTTCGGCCATTTGTACGTTTGCTGGGGCAGGAGGAGGGTGGTAAAGTAGCTAAGATTCAGAACTCCTTGTATGGGAATTATTGGTGTGAAATCTTGTTCTATTAAATAATAGCTCAGTCTTCAGTTTCTTTATTGTTGCATTCCTGACTGTTCAGTTGCACTCCTTTACATTTAAGTCTTGATTTTTCTTTTTCTCTTCAGAGTTTATCAAAATATTGCTGTTCACATTGTGTTGAATGCTGTGATATATAAATATACACAAGCAATATGCAAACAACAGCCAAAATCACTGTAAAAACAATTGCCCATTTTGAGATTAACTTTTAATTTTTTAAAATAAGCTGCCATAATGGAACTTCCTATGAATCATTTTATTTCAAGTAGTTTAATTTCACACAGTGATATATCTGGGCAGTAAAACTGGTAGATTCAAGCATTAGAGTTCAAAGATCATTTGCATGCAAGAAGAACTGTTTTAAAGAATATTTTAGCAACATTCTAATCCAAATGCTTTTTAAATTCAAAGGTAAAAGTGGCACCTTGGCATATAGCAGGGGGTCAACTCACTTAGGCCTACTAGGCAATCGTAACTTATTTGGCACACATGTGATATAGTGGACCAATGAATGTACTCCCCTGTCAGGAAAGGTGGAAGATTTGTGTTTGGGAAGGTGGGTTGCTCGGGGGTTGGGAGCCTCTGTTTGAGGTAGGGAATATCTAAATTCCACATTTGTACCTGCCACTTTCAATCAGTTAAGCTTTGATGACTAGCATTTCTGAAATTTCTACGAGTTCTGCATTACTGTTAATGGAGTATAAAACAATCTTTATAGGAGTTATTGGTTGTGTTAGCACTCTAATTTTAACAATACACACGTACCAGCCGCTTCCGTTATCAATTGGTCAAATTTTTATAATTTTCAATAGGACTGGGACGTAAAGAGGAAGAACTCACTGCTGAACAGCGCCGTCTTGCTGTTAGGTAGGTTAACAAAACCTGCAGTTGATTTTCCTTCTATATGTTTAGATGTTAAAAGTTACTTCTAAGTTATTACATCATAATTTTTTAAAAATAATTTACCAAATGTAGTCGAGTCATTGATAGAGTATCTCGTAAATGGACTACAGTGTATTCTGAGAAGTTATTTACTTAGACAATGTAAATAATAGTCACGATGACACACACACATTTTACAAAGGAAATGAAAGAAGATGGATTGTATGTTCTATTAATATTTCTCAAGCAATAGGTCACGGTATTAAGTTGTGCCAGGAGACTGTTGGGGAGACTGTTGTCATTTACATTTGAGGAGACATGTCTTAAACTACTACCAATCATAAAGCATCTTGGCAGCATATGATATAGTCCCATATCTTGCAATCAGTCTGAAAACAGCAATGTTTGAGGTCAGACATGTGCCTCACAGCCTCTTCGTGAACATTATGTGCATGTGGTCGTATTTTCAAATAAAGGACCGACATGAATGCTCAACCTGTCCTTGTGAATAGTTGTACTTTAGAATGTCACTGTAGCAATAAAACTTCCAGCTTCCTTCCACTCAACACAAGGCAGAATATTAGGAAATCTATAGCCTTAAGTGAATATAAACTTTCATGGCTGTCTCGGGGTGGCATCGATAGTCTGGGCTAAGAGCAAGTGTTTTCTCACTTTGTGTTGGAAACTGGAGTGAGATTGAGGGAGAGATGAGAAAAAAAGAAAATTAAATCAATATCAATTTAAATGTTCTGTATCTTTCCCTTTTTTCTTCTTCTTTGGTTTTTCCTCTGCCTTGCTTTTGTTTTAATAGGGACAGAGCACTGCCAGTACTGCCATATAAGTTGAGAGAGATTTGGCTTATTGTTTTTGACCGTGCATGTGCATTCTTGGTTCTCCCGTCTATACACACTTTGAAAGACTGTTTCCACCCACCTGGAGTGGATTGGATGAGCTTGGGTCTTTTGTTTATTGTATTCAACTGTGGGACCCAAGTTTCTCTGTAAATCTTTGCTTGTCATTTACTGCCCATCCCTAATTGCCCCAGGTGATAGTGGTAGTGGTGGTAGTGGTCGTGGTAGTGGTGGTGGTGGTGAGCTGTCTTGTTGAATGACTGCAGTCCTTGGAGTAGAGGGACACCTACAGTCCAGTTAAGCAGGGAGTTCCAGGATTTTGAACCAGTGATGTTGAAGAAACGGCGATTTATATTTCCAAGTCAGGATCGTGTGTGGCACGGCAGGGAATTTGCAGGTGATGGTGTTCCCTTGCATCTATTGCCTTTATTCTTCTAGGTGGCAGAGGTCACAGGTTTGGAAAGGGAAAAGGTTATGTGAAACATCATGATGTTGCATCATAATTTTAAGTTGTCTCCTTAGTTTTCCTTGCTCACTTTGTTATTTCTGACTTTCTGGTTTAGTTCTTCCTATGTCTGTGTGACAGGTGTGTGAAAGCTTGCCCTATGACTTATGCCAATATTAGAATTATGTCTTCGGGGAGGAGTACAAAATTCTGCATATTTGACCTACAGCTTAACTTTTTGTTTTGCAACTATGGAGTAAGAAATAGATCTCATATGGTGTAGGTCAAATATGAGCTCATATGTTGTAGCTCAGTTCATTAGAACTGAGAAAAATTAAATGTTGTATTTGAAGCTAGTTCAGATCTGGGGAGAAATATTGGGGGTGGTGTTGAACAGAAAAAAAAACATGAGGTTACTTGCTTCCTAAACTCCCACCAGTCCTTACAACTCAGTTTGCTCTGTGATATCATGAAATGGCTGAACACATGGACACAGCAAAGGCCACAGGTCCCAAAAATATCCTGAGTGTTTCTTAAGATTGTGCTCCTGAATTAGCTGCGCGTCTAGCCATATTGAAAATTACCCGATTGTGTCCTGTTCTTAAAAAAAAAAAAAAAAGCTGGACAAGTCTGATTGCCCAGTTACTGCCTCATCACCTTGCCCTCACTTGCCCTCAATCATCAGCCAAAGTGAGCAGTACTTCATGGCTGTTTGATTTGACTTTTGCTCCTCTTCACGTTCCACAAGATCCATCGATGTTGTATTAAGCTAAACATTAATCCAAGGCTGTTGTTTCAGATGGGTTATATAACACTTGATGGCCGTCCCTTCTTACTTTGAAGACTGTACAAAATGTGTGCCCAGGATTGAATATGTATATGGTATTTTTACTCTCTTTTGTAAATATGATTGTTCACTACATTGCACTTGCTGTGATGCTTTCTTGTTTATATTTACAGTTCAAGGCCTACTCTACTAGAGTATTGCAGCTATCACCTGAATTTTCTAGGTATTTTGGCTGGACCTGCCAGTAATTACAAGGACTATATTGCTTTTATTGAAGGCAACCATATAGACATGAAACTAATAGAAGAACATTGGAAGCAAAAAGGCTTTAGCAAATTTCCTGATCCTTCCCCATTGGTATGTATATAATGACAATAATTATATTCATGGTGTATTGCTGGTAAAGAAGCCAAATTATAATCAAGTTGCAAAATGGACTTTTGGGAACTAGTATACAATGACTTAGATACTGGACTTTCTCATCTGGGACTAGGGTTTAGATTCAAACCAGACTGATTGGATGCAAGACCATTCTGTTTGCAGGCTGTGAAAATCCTATGTGAAGTAAGTTTGGGTAATCTTAATTCAGTTCTTAGTTTTCAAAGATCAATAGTTTAAGACTACCCCTAAGTTTCTGCAACTTAGACAAATCTATGGCTCATTGGTGTAGGAAAATTACCACTGCTGTCACAGTAAGAGAGATTCAAATAAAATTGAGGCGCTAAATCCATGTGGAACCAAAATGTATTGCAGTACACAATATTAATGTCCCAGGTGAACAGACACAGACCCACAAAGGCACACATGTGCATAACACTGTGCTGAAATACTGACTAAGAGAAAATCAGCATCATAAAGGGAAAATGCATGTTAATATATTAATACTAATTCTGACTAAGAATGAAATAATCTTTTCCTTTGTGGGAAGAAGTTTAGCTTTTTCACAAATTGCATTATAAAATATAAGGGAAGTGCAATCCGTGGTGGTTTAGTTCATCCTTCTGTAATTTCCCACTTAACTGTTCCAGTGTCTTTCTCCTCCCTATCATGGTAACTTCCTTCAGCTCTGTTACCCTCTAAAATTGCTCTGTGACTCCAATTCAAACCTCTTGTGTATTCCCCCCAATTCGCAGCTGTGCTTTCACCTGCCTTTGCCTAAATTTGGTAATTGTGTCCCTCAACCTCACCACATCTCTACCTGACTTGCCTTCAAGGAGCAAGAAAAAATAGTTGTGCTCGTTGGAGTACACTTCTCTCGGTTGTGGTGGGATGGGGCACTAATGCACTTTAGGGAAGGAAACTGCTGTCCTCACCTGGCCTGGCCTGTATGCAGCTCCAGATGCACAGTAATGTGGTTGTCTCACAACTGCTGTCTGGGCAATTAGAGACAGACAATAAATGCTGGCCTAGCCAGTGGCAAACATCCTGTGAATGAATAAAAAATGTTCAAGTACAATGAGCTTGTCCCAACCATCTTCAGCTTCTTCACTGATTGTCATAAGTGAGTCATGACGGCATCTAAGTGGACCAGAGCATTAAAGAGGGAATAGAAAAAGGATACAGTTCAAAATCAAATTGTTAAGTCATCAGTGTTTAAGATCATAAACTGTCAAAATTCTTCTGTTAGGATTTTGGTTGTGCAGTATTGTCCCTGAATTTTCTTCGATACTTTGCCACAGTGTTAAAACAATCTCGCATCAGGAATGGCAGAAAATAATGAACAGGACGTGTTCAGAATAGTTGTCATGGCAGAAAATCCCATTATCTAACCCGGTGTGCTGGAGCACTAGCATCTTAATCAGTCGGTGTGGTCCCATTAATGGATCAAATTAATACCTTGATTGCCTTGTCATTTAAAGCTGGAAATATTGCACGTAAGAGCAAAATAATGCAGATGCTATAAATCTGCTACAAAAATACAAAGTGCTGGAAAAACATAACAGGTCTAGCAGCATCTGTGGAGAGAGAAACAGGGTTAATATTCAAGTCCAATATGACTGTTCTTCAGAAGATAGCTGTGTGCGCCAAAGTTTAAAAACAAAAATGGTAAAGTTTGATTTAAGAAAAGTTTTTTTTGTGGTTGGTTGGCTCGCCGAGCTGGTTCGTTGTTCTGCAGATGTTTTTACCCTGCTGGGTAACATCATCAGTGCAGCCTCCGATGAAGTGCTGTTGTGTTTTCCCACCTGTTATTTAAACTCTGGTGTCCGTTGAGCTGGATTATCTCACTTTTGGTTTTCCTTCACCGTGGAGTGTATATGGGTTCTAGCTTTGTGTTTATTGATGGCTTTCTTAGTGGAGTACCAGGCTTCTAGGAATTCCCACGCTTGTCTCTGCTTTGCTTGTCCCAGGATCCTGGTGTTGACACAATTGTGTCACCTGAATGTTATTTACTGAAGCTTGGATGTTGTCCAATCCTTTTTGAATATGGACATTGGTCATTATCAGAGGAGTCATGAATGGTGCTGAACATTGCGCCATCATCAGTGAACTGCTGCAATTATGATGGAGGAAAGGTCATTGAAGATAGTTGAACCTGGGGCACTACTCTGAGAAACACCTTAGACTGGGATGATTGAATTCCAACAATCACAACCGTCTTCCTATGTGCTTGGTATGACTGCAGCTAGTGGAGAGTTTTTCTCCCTGTTCCCACTGACTCCAGTCTTGCAAGGCTACTGTGCTTATTGGACAGAGGCCTTCTGGCTCACCATGTCAGTGCCAGACCTTTGAAGGAGCTATCCAATTAGTTCCAATTCTTTGCTTTTTATCCCCCATGGTATTGTATATTTTTTTCCCTTTTCCAGTTCCCTTCCAAAAGCATTTAATCTGCTTTCAATATCCTTTCTGGCAATCCATTCCACATCATCACAAAGCCTCATGTGTTTTTTGAAAAATGTTTGCTTTTTATGTTTTACGTCCTCCATGAAGTGTGAGATTTCAGACCATGCATTACATAAACCAGGTGCGGGGTGGATGCCCGCTGCACTGCCCCCTCCCCCCCCCCCCCACCCCCCAACCGTGGTACCTGCATTTTGGTCCAGGAATCTATCTTAGTTAGAACTCTCAAAGTGTGCCTCTGTTGAATTTTTAAAAAACTGGTATGTTTCCAGTGTCAGCCACCCTCCTATTCAGGGTTGTAAGGTTACATACAGGTCAGTACGGATTGATAGCTTTGTTCTAAGCTTAGGCAGGGAGGAACCTTTCAGCTTGTAAAGTGAGCCAATTTTTCATTAGTCTTACAAAACAGCATGCTGCAGATGTTGGAAATTTGAAATCAAAATAAAATATTCTGGAAGTGTTTAACTTGTCAGGCAGCATATGTGGATCAGTATTCTGAAGAAAGAAAGGTCATCATGACCTGAAACATTAACTTTTGTTTCTCTCTACAAATACCTCGCCTTCTGAGTTATTCCCAGTAAATTTTGATTTTTAAATAATTAGCTTTATTTGGATTCCAGCTGAGATCATACAAGTGAAAGCACAGTCCACTAACCTGCTTCAGTACCCTATCTTCTTTCAACTGTTTGGATATAAAATAGAAATTTCGCAACTCAAGTTACCTACAACGGCATCAAAAATCTTACCAGTGTGTCACATTAGTGGCCTGTCATCAGAATTTATTTCATTTCTGATTAATTAATGGATTTAAGAAGCATTGTGCTATACTATGAAATTAATAAATGCTTGGCACTGTTCTGAACATGGTTCCTTCCACTTATCTTTAACCACTCGAATATTGTTGTTATTGACATAAAACTGCTTAGTCCTTATTTCATTGTTATAAATCACTTTTGCCTGTTGTACTACATTCTGGATATTTTGTTACTGATGCAGTACTGACACATATCTAAACATTATATATTTTGTGGGGTTTGTTTAATTTTTCTAGAGAGCTGTAGCAAACAAAATGGTTATCACCTTTGTATGTCTAGTTTGGTTTATGCTCATCACGAAGAACTTCCCGATCACCTACAATGTGGATGACAAGTTTATAAGTGAAGCATCGTTCTTCAGGAAACTCTGCTATCTCTTTCTCTCAGTTCACGCATCTAGACCCAAGTACTACTTTGCATGGACTTTAGGTAAAGTAATTTGCTGTGAATTCTTAACTGTACGTTAATGCCATATTTTACATTTTATGGTTAATTAAGGCTTCATGACTGATTCATAAAGGAAGTACTTGGAACAAATTAGAATAATAAAGGATTTAATGAATATTTTTAAATTTAATTTTGGTTTGTTTGAACCTATTGGATATTTGACTTTTTAATTTTCATTCATGGGTGATGGATCTGATTAAAGTTAGGAAAATTTGATTTGGATTTGCATAAATAATTCCTCAGTATTCGTGGAGAAGCCTCATTGCCCCAGTCTGTCAATGCTTTCAATAATTTTGGTGATACTCTAATAGCCATTGCTATTCAGTTTCTTTTTGTTTCTCCTTTCTTGCCTGTTCTCTTTCTAACATTGATAATGCAAAATTTCTGGTTATGTGACTGCTTTTTTCAAAAAGGAAACCAGTGAAGCTTGGAGAAATTTACAATAAATTACAAATACCCTTTGATTATCTTAAATTGCAGGCTAGCTTTCGCTTGTTTAAAGGCACACTTCAGGTTAGCAGATAAATATCAAATGTCTATGCCACTATAGATGGTGAGATATAACTGATCAGAAATGTATTGGGATATGTTTCTGAAACAGTACTTCATGTTCTACATATTGTTACATATGTTTGTGGATCATGTTTTGAACCAGTCATTTCCTCCTGGGTTCTGTGAAAATCATTCCAGCATTGCAACAATATTTGAGCTTGAAAGGTGGCTTTTCACAGCAATATGACTGTAAATCTTAAAGCAGCAGAATAACACCTTGTTTGCAAAATGGTATAGTATGCCTTTTATTAAAAACCCTCAGATTAACTGCAAGTGACATGATGAAAGGTCTGTTAATATGTTAAACTGTTGAATCCATCACACTATGCATGAAACACAGACAAATCACATCTAACCATTTATTTGAAGCATTATCAAAGAAGTAATCTGTTGAATTAAGTCAAGACTCGGTCAACTTCAATTAGGTTCGTAACTTCAAATGCCCCGAAGATTGAAGACTGTTCTTCTTTGATCCTCCTGTCCATGTAAAACTAGGTACCGTGTCACTTATTCTTCACTTACTATTTTGGATTTCTTAGGTGCTGTAGAAGTGAAAATTAGAATGCTACAGATTTTCAAAGCAGAAGGTGGTGAACTGACAGGATCTTTCAGAAACAACAAGGTGCAGGGCTGGATGAACACAGCAGGCCAAGCAGCATCATAGGAGCAGAAAGGCTGACGTTTCGGGCCTAGACCCTTCATCAGAAATGAGGGAGGGGAAGGGGGTTCTGAAATAAATAGGGAGAGAGTGGGAAGCGGATAGAAGATGGATAGAGGAGAGGATAGGTGGAGAGGAAACAAACAGGTTGAAGAGGCGGGGATGGAGCCAGTAAAGGTGAGTGTAGGTGGGGAGTTAGGGAGGGGATAGATCAGTCCAGGGAGGACGGACAGGTCAAGGGGGCGGGATGAGGTTAGTAGGTAGGAGATGGGGGTG